TCAGGTAGTGTAAATATCCAGCCCCCCCCCCCCCCAAACTGTCCTGCAGTGTACAGAGCTGCACTTAACGTGAAGGCAAGCAGTTGAACTGACCTCACCACCAAACGTTTCCCATCTGTATACCATAAATTCACAAAAGGGCATCCTGACACAGTGATGATCACTAAAGGGACTGCACATGAATTCAGGTTTCCATACGCAGTATGAGACCGCTAGAGGACAGAAAGCAAGCCCGCTAGCTAGCTAATCTCTTTTTTATAAACCACAAATGAGTAACAAAGTTAACCGCAGCAGCATGTGGAGCACAGACCACCTTCCAAGCATCTACCTGTTCAGGAGTGACTCAATCATTAGACCAGTTTGATTAAGCAATTGGATGCGATCAGCACGTGCTACTACTGAATGTGAGACACGAATGCCTGCTTTTATTTAATCTAACCCCTTTCCTCTCCAAAGGGCACTGGACTCTTCAGAAAAGAGAAATACTTTTGCCTCCTTCTTAGATAAAGCTACTTATTGTGCTTACAGCTCTGTGGAAGCAGTGGTCTGGGGTTCGGATGAGTTCTGACAAGTCTCACTGGCAGGTTCAGCTCACTCCGTTTTGCAACTATTTTGACCAGGCTCTTAAAGCGAAACTGCATAAGCTACCTGGAGTGCAGGGCCCAGTGGGGTAGGAGGGAAACAGCAGCCACAGTGGGGCAGCTACAGGGCCCTGCCCTCCTGCAGACAGAAAGGCGGGGTGAGGAATAGGTGGAGCTTTGACTCTGTTTCCTTCCCATGCTCTGACCAGCCAAGCTGTGGTAATGGGGGCACCAGGAAGGGGATTGTGACTAGTGTGCTCCCTCAGGGCAGATTGTAAGGTTGCATCCGAGCCCCGTGTAACTGAATTATTTATTTCCTTCCACCATTTCTGGTTTTCAGGAGCCTGTGACTAAAACAGCACTCAGCAGTGCCAAAAATATCATTGGGATAAAAAAACCACCACCCCAAACCCAACAAAACAATATTTCCCAAGGGCAGCACTAATTTATACATGGTTAGTCAGCATCCTGCTGAAGAAGAAAGTCATTCTAAAAGTGCTATTGAATGGTCCAATTAGAGCAAAACCTTCACGCTTAATCTTTAATAAATTAAATTCTTAACTTCTGATAAGCCACTTAAGCATTTCTATAAACTGCTGTTCGGTGGTGTTTGCTGTTCTTCAGAAGGATTTCTACTGGTTGTTCCCTGGCACGTCGCAGTTTGCAAAGAGTTGTCTGTGTTGCTATGAACATTCATTCTGGGGTTGGCATTTTCTCCCGGTCGTGACAACTGGGTCCTTTTGAGGGGAGAGGGAGGATGTGTAGGTACCTGAGGCCTTGCCAGCAGTGCTACTCTGGGCAGAAAGTGCAAGGAGCTTAAGAGAACTCACCACCCCGTTGCTGGATTGTTCCTAGAAACCTTTTCCACAGCTATGAAGAGGTTAACTCCCAAGCTGCTGCCATCTGCAAAGTGTTACCACGACCTTGGAGTCACTGGCAATCAGGATTGGTTCAGGCAGTAACCCTGCCTGCAAACATCCTCTCAAGTCTTTAACCCTGAGTTCACACAGCCCTAGGAAGCTACTCTATAGTGGTGTGTGGGGTAGTCAAGCAACTCAGGAAAAGCCCATGGTGCTATGTGGGGGAGGGAGCAGGGGATGATATGGTCAAAGCAGGAGTTGCAGAGGCAGAACAGGTTTTAAAAGGGAGAGTCACTTAGTTTTATGTATAATTTTGACAAAAAAACACCAAGTGACTTTGGACACTTGTAAGAATCCTCACGCTGGATGTGGTGTAGTGAGTACTCAGTGGTCACCATTAAAAGGCCAAAAAACCCAGGAATTGCTACACTCTGTCAGATATTATATTAGAAAACACTAACCCTTTAAACAGACATACCCTCCAAATACCACACCCTTGCATTGGCCGTCAGCAGGGGGCACTGAACCTGGGAATCTTAAAGAATGTGCCTCTACTTGCCTGAGCTAACAGACTTATGTCTATTAACCAAAGTTGTAGCAGGCTCATCAACCACTATATGCAACCAGCCACCACTAGAGGGGGACAGGGTACCACTCTGAGTGGGTGTAGGTTACATGAACAGTAGTTGTAATTTCCTCTGGAAATAAGCAGTCCGGTTGACTATAAAGTATTACAAAGAATCTTGCAGGTCTCCTACTGTTCCTTTCAGAACGGGTTTTTATTCTGAGTTTAAGTTATTAAAACCAACTGGAAAGGCAACTACATACTTTCCTGCTATTGATGTAATGGAATAAAAGGCTTGTCTTAGAAATTCATTTACTATTACATTGCCCAATCTGGGAGGCCGGCGTCCCTGAAGAAATCTCTGATCTTTTCCCGGGGCGGCTCAAAAACAAGTCCCGGGGAAAATGAAGAGTGGAAACGCTTTTCTTTTTCCCTGTAGTCGTTTTTACTTCAGCCATTCGTCCATCGCACACTGAAAATTTCTGCTGTTTGCTAGAGTCCAAAGTGGAATTAAGCCAGAGCACAAGGAGGAGGAAAACAAGAAAGTGCATTTTCCCAACAGCTTCTTTTAAAAAGATGTCTGTCATGGCAAGGAGAAGCCTAAATAGTTTTCTGTCTCTTAGAAGGGGAACATCAAGAAACCCTGACAGAGATTCAAGCTACATAGTGTGAATTGTACATTATTCACAAAAGCAGCTGCAAAACTGCGGTGCACTGTAACACCAAGGGACGTACACTGTGATTTCACTGACTGATTGCACACAGCATACGGAGCAATCACTTCGCTCACCACCGAAGTGCAGGCACTTGCTCCAGTTCTGGGGTGGAGCATGGCAGGTGTTTAAAAATGCACAG